GCTACCTGCCAATTTAAGTCCCGTTGAAATCGGTTCTGCTATTTCAGAGATTAGTCAGAACAAATAGACAGACAGACAGACAAAAATTTTAAAAAATGTTATTTTGGTATATTAGCGTATATGCATGAAGTAAACAGACATTCCAATTTTATTTATATGTAAAACAACAGTAAGAAACATCAGGCAAGTCAATGGTTAACAGTCACCGTAAGTCGTGTGCATATGGCATATATGTGAATGTAAGGCATCATGAGTGTGTTACCGACCCTAAAAAAAACTAGCCCGAACGCCCACACTGGGGCGCCGTACAGGCATCTTTTTTTAAAAACCTCTTTCTGTTCTTGTAGAAAAAAGTTTCAAGTGTATAAAATTTCATAACAAGAACTTTAGGTACTAAGAATGTGCGTGTTCACAACACATTTACTGTATATAATTCGCGTTATTTCTTATCTGATTTGGAACTAGACTAGCAAGTCTAGCCTACAGTTTCATCTTACACAACAATTCGAAGTAGAACAAAGGCCGATTTATTGAAAATACAATAATTTACAAATCACATAAAGACATTGAAGCGCTGTAAACACGCAATATTATTATCTTATGTAGGTAAATAGCTCTGAAAATTAAACATCGAACTAAAACTTACCAATAAGAGCAAAATCATTTTAGCAACTTAATGATTGCACTTGACTTTGATCAACTGATACTCAAATATTAATTTAATAATACTAATCACCAGTTATGAAAATGGGGTAGACGACTAATTTTTATTTTAATGTCCGTCTGGTAGATTATTTAAAAACATTAGACACGTATTTTTTATTTTCTTACGGAAACGAATAGTTTCGAAGATATATTGATTTGAAATGTCGCGTGACGTCACTTCTCAGTACATTTTACACTAAGAAATGACGTTTTAGCCCCCACTCCTAAACTTTGATTCGTTTTATCTAAGTATTGTTTTATTATACAACAAAATAAAAAAATACGTGTCTAATATTTTTTTATTACCTAAGTTACGGACTAATTATATTTTTAATTTTCATACCCTGTCATCATCCCCATTGTGAAAGTTTCAACCATTGAATTGAAATGTGATGGTTCAATTTGTATCTTAAAAAACTTATATTTTAAAATAACATTCTTTAAAAAAATATATTACCGTCGTGATGGTTTACTGAGACTCTGTCTAAATATTTTATATTTCTTTTGAAACCAAATTATTCACAAAATTGCTCATATTTCTTTTATACCATAAAAAAGTGGTAAAAACTTTGCTAAATTGCCCATTTACCCCTTTTCTTTCGCGAGCTTAATTTGTTAAAATTCCTCGCGAAGTTTTAATACAAAATCGCGTGATGTTGGTGCATTGAACTTCAAACTTCCCCTATTAACGTTTCCGAAGTAATATTAAATACACCTAAAATGATTTATTATAATCATTTCAAATAAAGTTGATGCACACTATAGCATTTAGTTTATCACTAGTTTACATTGCATTAAAAATAAATTACACCAAAAATGATTTAATAAAATTAGGCTAGCGATACAACATATAAAAATTTACATGATACGTCCCAACTGCTGTCATGTCCACCAATACGATCACAGTAACGACTCGTCTGTTCGGGCCTTTAATTTATCCAGTTCGAACTGGTCACAAACTGGATACAAATCACGTTAGTACATGGTAGATAAGTAATGACCTAACCTCGCTACTCACTCGTGCTATTCAAACGTTTAATATTATCGACATTTAACTAGAATCATAACAAATCAATGTACATAAATTGTTAGTTCAGGCTCTTAACTTTTACAGCTTGAACATACCATAATTTAATTTCAATGCGTATAGTCTTTGAAGTTTTTTCATCGATTATTTGATTTATTGTCTGATCAAATTTCGTGATGTAAAAAGGCCTTTTCAGCATTTTATTAGGCCTCTAGGTCATCGAGAAAGTCAAGCCGAATTGCGAAAAGTCTAAGCAATCTTTCAGTTACATAAAGATAGGTTCTTAATATAATGTAACTTTCTACCATGTGATTGACCTCAAGTTCACCGAACTCACGAATACTGCCGATATGCCAGCTTCATACGGCATATTTTTGCGTCCCAAAAACAACAAATAAAGTATACTTATAGTTACGTATCTAATTTAACATGTTTGTTTTACAAACTTGTAATTTGACGTGATTAAAGTTATTAAATACCAAAGTTATCAATGTTTTTTTTTTATATAAAAAACACTTTAATGAGTGAATTATGCTTTCATCAATATCAAAACATTATCGACAGTTCACTGCTGGATTACGGGCCTCTACAAAAGAAGGACTTGTCATAACAGACAGGTCTGTAAGGTGAAGGTTAAATACTGAACAGAATATATCTTATGTACTTATGAATTAGAAGCAAAGTGCATTGTTTATGTGCACCAGGATGTGATATTTACAAAACAATGCGTTGTCTACATGTATGTTACAGTGTCAGCATGTTGTTTACATATTCGATAGATAGTGAATCTCACTGCGCCGGTCGCAAGTCGGTCCGGCGTCGAAAGCGCATTGCGTAACTCGTGATTAATGTTTTAATATGTATAAACTAGAATAAACTAAATATGAACACTTTCAACTGAAATAAAAGTAACCGTGATAAATCCTAAAAATTTATCATCTTTGCTGGCAAAAGATCGGCAGCTTTGCCACGTTGAATTGGCAACTTATCCTTTCGATCACCTGAAGTATGAAAATAAGAATAAAATCGGCATACAATTTGGAAAATATTGCAATTTTAAATAACAGCAAGTCGGAACAAAACTGTCTTTGTTTTGTCGGTCTTGGACCACACACCACGTAATAATAATATGTACAATCTAGTTAAATGATCCTTGAATATTCTCCAAAACAGTAATTGAGGAGATAGTCTACGTTTACGTCAACTGTAGATATCTATCACGTTGTGTAGTAAGGTCAAAATTCGGAAAACACAAATCTTTTTTCTTGGTAATGCTAATCAGTTATCGAAATATACATACGTCATACGTAATGACTCAATCGAATAATTAACTTTTGCAATGTGGGAAATACAAGTGTAAATTATTGTCGTTTACTCATTATTTCCTCATTTCATATTATGTCTAATAACTCCATATATACAAGGTGTAGTTTTGAAACCGTGGCATTTCCCGGGGGCATGTCATAGAAGTCATAAAGGTTCAATGTTTCGGGCCAATAGTTAAAAATACGGCTATAATAAATCGTTTCAGTTCGACAATATTTCAGAATAAGCGGCAGCAATGTTTCTTATTAGAGTTTTATACAATTAGGAATAATTCCAATACGTGTTTGAATTTGTGTGTGTTAAGCCGGGTTACAAAACTAGTTACAAGACGGCGCCGTGTAGTTCGTGCGCTTACGGATTTCCGTAATTTACAGAAAAATGAAAAATATTTAAGTACAATTTTTTTTATTGGTTCGGTCTCAGAATCGATAGCCGAGTTATATATAAAATGTGTGACAATTCTGTGTCTATTAAGCAAATCTAGGGATTAACTAATAGGTCACTGTCAGGGCCGTCTTTAACTACGTCGAGGCCCTTGATCACACAAGAATTCGAGGCCCTTGTGGAATGTTTCTTTTCTTTTAACGTTGCACGGTGCACCACACTAGGATTTTCTACTGTATCGTGGGTGCATTCACAAACATACATGTTCACATACTCATGTGTATGTATCACACAGACCCGAAACAACAATTTGTGGATCACACAAAGATTTGCTCCATGCAGGAATTTAATCTGCCACACGTTACGCGGCAACCGGCTACCCCGAACCATGTAGCGGACGTGTGTCCGTCGTAAAAAAGGACGGTCCTTTGGGGCCCCCTGAGGATGCCCTCCGCCATGCCGGGGCCCTGGGCACGGCATTGGTCACTGAAATTGGCCTTAGTTGTTTTACCTCTGTTCTGACTGTCTCGTTGGCCGAATGATTGCAAGCGCGACTGTCGGGGAAGGGGTCTCGGGTTCGATTCCCGGGTCGGGCAAAGTATTACTGGGTTTTAATAAAGTAGTAGCACGGAGTCTAGAATTGTGCCCGGTATATGACAATAGGCTCACTCCCTATTACATGGGACTCATAACAGCAATTGTGAAAAGTGGGTGTTACATTGTACAGTGGCATTAAATGCCGTAAATGCGTAATGTTATGTTGTTGTTCTACCTTTTCTTAGACTAAGCTCGATTCTATTTAAAAAGTATTTAAGCAAACTACAAAGTTAAGTCTATATCTGAATAAACCAAGTACCACTTTTCTGTGAACCTATCCTTTCGCTCTCAGTCAAAACTGTCACTAAACAGATAAAGGGAGTGTGACCGCATGCAACGAAATTGATGGTTTGTCTACAAACATTTCATACCGGTCTTGGGTTCTTGGCCTAAGTAAAGTTAAAAAGAAAATCATATATCACTTTGTTAACTTTAAACTGTTTTTCTTTTTCATTGAATGTTATTCTCCTATTTTGTATCTGGACATCAGTTAAGGTGCTGACTTTAGACTTTTTTCAACATTTCTCAGTGTGACTGTACACGTATAGAAATTCTACCTCTATACAGAATTACTTAATTACGTGTATGATATGACGTCATGTGAAAATGCTATTTTTTTTTGCATAATAACGTTATTTTTCTTTGTTACAGACTGTCGAGGAGCTATACGCCTTGGCAGATAAAATCATCGGGACCAAACGTCTGTAATGTGCTATATTTATTTTATAAGAGTAACTTTCGAGTATGTATAGCGTGATGTACCTGATTTCAAAATATACGTAATAGTATGTCGGTCTTTGTCCTAGTACTATCACATTATTATATCTCTTTACGAGAATTAAAAAACATTGTAAACTTCAACGTAGTCAAAGTAAGTAACGTGTGATTTTGTATTTAATAAATGTCCATCAAAAATACAATTTGTTTGTATCCTTTTAGAAGAAAATAATTGAAACAAATATTAATACTTTGCACGTTTATTTAACTTAGTCATACTTATTAGATTATTTGTAACAAACTTATATGGATAGTACCGTATTCACAACTGTAATCAATATACATTTAGTACAGTTTCAAATTATTACAATAAGAACTTGACTAGATTACATAACAAGGAATTTAGATACGAATTAATTAACGTTGTTTATATAGTAATGAACTTACAATGGCGATATTGGTCTATAATTCTGAGCGAGTAATTTTTAATTAATTAATATTAATTGGGGGTGATTAACAGAAACTTCCCCCGGTTTATATTACAACTATGCTAAATTCAACGAGACAACAGTAAATAGGAAGACAAAAGTATTCGTAAAATGTTTGAATAGTATGCATGTATGGAATGTAAAATTTTAAATTATAACTACGAATTGATAAAAAAACTTATATGTCTCGTTGACTGCGACTTTAAAATGATAAAACGACTATAACCTAAAAACGCGTAGCGCTACGGCGTAGCGGCGCCGGCGTCGGCGGCCTGTCACAAGTGACTCTTGGGCTTGCGGCGTAGCTGCGCGTAGATGAGGCCGGCTGGCTTGTCAATAGGTTGATAGATATTATGATTAGGGTCTCCTTTCGTCACATTTGCAGGGAATTTTGACATATCGATATTGAGGTAGTGCTTGTTCGGCATTGTCATTTTGATCCAATTGATCTGTGAACAAAGATAAAATAAAAATCAAATATTATGTAATTTTCTAAAACATTGTTCGTAGCTAAAACGTCTCATATATCACATTTATTACTAAAACTCTTCTCTTTTTAATGATTTTTTATTCTATCGTGAGTTTGCACTTTCTGTTATTATCAGCTTATGAACGTGGAGAATATGCCAATCGTGCCACGAAGTGTCTACATTGTTGGAATTGAATCGATATCACTGAATAATTTATAATGTATAGTACATATACTGGGAAATGTGCAATGTGTGGCCTGAGTTGATATTATAACTTAAAACTTTCTGTCTTGCCATTAAATGATATTTTATTGGTATCTGGATTATCTGAATATTATTCATAGTTTGTGCATACCTATCACTCTCTATAATGAATGCATTTTTCCAAATAAAATAATTCAACATTTTATTTTTACATCTACGTAAAAATATTTATGTAGGTTGTCTAAAATCAAATAAAAATAATACTTGTCACCTAATAATTTCAGCATAAAAAAATAACAATTTCAACGCATAAAAAATACAAGGTCGTATCACAATAAATCTTAAACGAAAAAAAAAACAGATAATAATTATAGGCCCCCAGTTAGGTTTTAATTGCGGCTGATAACTTGCGACCTTTGCCTCACGTGACTGTCGCTCGAAAACAAGTATAGTCTGATTGTGACGTAGGCCTGGTATCGGCCATAGACTAGGTATATCGCAACGTTGCTACAGACTGTTTCTATATGTCACTAAAATAATGAGGATTCGCTTTTAATAATAATCAACAATTTTATTTACCATTCCGTCTATCAAGAACAAGGCCCTTAAATTAGGGTAAAGATACTATTATATTGTCTGTACTCGAGGTTGTGAGTAAGAAATATTGGCACGCGCTTTGTTGTTGTTGAAATATCTGTAAACTTTCTTTTTTCATTGAGAGTTATCTTTACTGATGTCTCTGTTTTATAATTATTACATTTAGCTGACTAGTTTTAGTAATACACTGAACATTTCTGGTTTAAACTGTCAATCACCAAGCGGTCCCCGGTGACCGCAACCTATTTTTTTAAAAAAAAAAAAAACGTTGCCCCACACTAGGATTTTCTCCTGTGTCGTGGGTGCGTTTACAAACATACAAGTTCACATACACAATGACACCCATATTATTCTATAATTGTGTCTATAATGACGGTACTCAACAAGTTAAGTCACAACTACATTTTCATTACAAAAGCGCACTTTCGCTATATCGATAACAATATACAATAGTCGTTACTTTTTATTACAATAACATTTTTCTGAACACAGCTGTAATTTCGTGCCTTTGTTATATCCTGAGAAAAGGTTCCCGAGAGAAATTAGAGTACGGCCACCGGCGGCTATTGACCGACCGGCTAAACATAGACTTGCAATATTTATTTCCGTAACGCTAAGAAGACATTTCACATTTGTGTGAAGCGGTATGCCGGCGAAAGCGAAATTAGGTGAAATTTTTGTTATAGATTATTCTCAATGAGATACGGACGACAGATGGTAGTCACGAAACCTGTATCTTTTTTTTATCCACTGAATCTGTCGATTTTGATATTAAAATTGAAAAAAAATGAAGTGTAGTAAACTAATTTCATCATGGATCATCATTAATATTGTTGACATAAGAAATGAAAAGACCAGATATTAAAAATAATCGTTCGTAAATTAAAGCGATGTTCTCACTACAATGACCGGTTTAGCGACCTAATATTTCATAGACATAGACGACACACAGTTAATACTAAATACGGCTATTAATCTAGATGTTTACATTAGAAGTTCGACGATTTTATCATGGCACGAGGTTGATACTAAAATTACTTAATTAAAATAGGCTGAATTGATGCAAATAACGTAAGATTCACAAATAACTTCTCAGTAAAGATAAACATACTAGAAGTACCCAAAAGGCAAATGTTATCATAGTTATTGATAAATTATGCTGTATGTACGTACGTAAGCTTTGATATCTGTAACCCGTGTGCAAATATTCAGCAATTTTTACGTCAATTTGCACACTGTTCAATAAGAGAAAGCACAGCAGAAAATTGTATTGATTTGAATAACTCATTGTACTCATGATTTAATGTTTTACTGATGGTAATTTGTGGACTCGTGTCTATTTAGAACTTGTATTCTTTTTTCGTACACGAAATCTCTACACACGAAGGGAATTCAGTGACAAAATCTTGAAAACTTAGTATGCAAAGGGAAATTAATTAAAAAATTGAACAAAATCTCAGTATTAGTTGACAAGATACCTAATATCCGAAAATGAGACAGAAGGATAGAAAGGTTAATTGAACTTACCTCTGGAACTTTTTCTAATACAGTCTTCTCAGCTTGGTAGAGGGTGTGTTGAACTGATGGCGAGTACACGCCAATGTCTGCGGGACCCGCGAATTTGTCCAAAATGGCGTCCTTGACTGTTAGCCAGGCATTGTCGAAGTCAGCCGTACGCATATTGTCGTAGATCCATTCAGCTTCCACCACGGTACTGTTTGAAGATTACAAATTAGTAATAGAAAAAAAAAGAATATTGGCAAAAAAGTCGTAGGTATAATCGTATGTACAAATTAAAAAAAAACTTCAATTGACAAAATGTTCAACAAGTACCTGAATATTCTTTCAGCGGCATCTGTTAATGTGGTGTATTCGTCCTGAACGAAGTCTACGAATGCTGACTGTGTTGTTTTAAGTACACGGAGACCACTTAAACCGGATTTCACAGTCACTGCCTCTGTTTTGCGAAAGAAAATAAAACAGTAAGATATTTGTCACAACTTAAAGAATCACAAGAACAATGCGTACACAATGCTAGCACTACTAACCGTGACGAGCTTGGCTCACTTGACACCACCTGGTCGCAGTCGGTGAGAACACGAACGCATGGTTATGAGGCGCCTCCGCGTGAAGACGCTCCCAAGGGTACTCTACTACTTTACATCTAGCCTCCACCACTTGCTTGTACATGTACAAGAAGTGGCTCACTACCACCGCACCAAATTCTTCTGGAGTCTTCACTCCGTGCTTCTTCGCCAACAGATACACAGTGTTCTTCTGCGAATCTGTAGCCACCACGTCCTTGTTGTCTCCCACAACATATGCAGTTTCGGAGTGCAGTTTTAATTCCGTGAAAACTTCGTATTCTCTGATGGAATGGTAATCAGCATCTCGTTGTACATGAAGTAGTTTGACAGCACTCTTGCCGTAGCCGTGGTCACTCAATTCAAAACGACCACCTGAATCAGCAGAAGCCGTCAAAGCTGGACCAGCCTTGAGGCTGCTGCTTGAGGGTGGTACTTCCATTGAGCTGGTGTTCGATGGTTTCGCGTAAATTCTGAAAACGTATTAATTATATCGTTAATAACTTATGATAGTTTATTTCGGGATGGAATACGAAAGATAAGAATTATAGGTTGATTTATTGTGAACAAATAAATTGATAGACATTGTTGTAAACCAGTAAATTATTCAAATAAAATGACATATTAAGTAACTTGGCAATCACAGAGTCAATTACCTGTTGATGCTTGCCCACGGCATTTTATTCAAGCCAATTAATCGTAACAATCACTTAATTTTGAGAGAATGTAGGAAACCGCGTCGCCGCATAGCCCAACGTACTGACTGTTCCGGCAGAGATGCTGCCCTCACTTATAAGAGTAACCTGTGACCTGTGTTATCAGCGCCGAGCACGCGCCCGCGCCGCTCGCGATATTGTAACACTCATTAATTATCTAATGCGGTTCAGTGCCGGATTAGATGACATCAATAAACAAGAAATAATAAATAATGAGATGTTTTCAAAATTTCTTTAATATTATTCAAGCAATGTGCATTGAAATCCGAATTTGATTATGTTCACTACGTTTTTAAACTACGGTGATCTGATCTGTAGTTTCTATAAATATGCAATTGCATTCAGACGTAATAATTGTATTGTATGCAGTTAGAATCCGTCACTGGTGCAATTTATCAACTGTTTATATCTATAGCGAGCTACACATCAAGTCAGGGTATATATTCGCTCACTTTCCTCACTCTGAGGACTTTAGACCAGGAGTCATGACGTGGTATTTCCTTTTTTATTATCTACTGTAATCTTATCGCTATGGGCCTGATATTTAAGATAAATCTAGACGGGAAAAATAGTCGCACAAAGTTAACAATCACCTTTCTCCTTCTTCGTTTCGTCATGAGATAATTCGCGAGTGATATTAGAAAAATGACAGCTCGTTCAATCATTCCTTATTATAATATCGCTGTTACTACTGTAATATGGAACGAGCTTTACAATATACTTATTAAATATATTGCGCCATTCTACTTGTCCAATTCCAAAGATAGACACTTACGCCTGAATATTGAAAGGGTACTCATTTTTATATATTTTTTTTATGTTACATATTAATTCTCCACGGACTCTTGGTTCGTGCCCTTGTTATACAATTTTTTATTACAATACGTCGAATCAATATTTATAAAGTAAAGTAGGTACCTAGTTACACACTAAAATTTAACCACATCTATAATTATTACTAAAAGTATATATTACATAATAATTAGCTATTATCCATTTATATCTATTTCGACGGCTCTACGAAATCACCAACAAGATGGGAGAGCCGACCTGACACAGCAGAAGGCTCCCGTTCACGTGTATGACGTATGAGTCAACAATCGGTCCAGTCAACCTTTTTATTGGGAACGGAACAACCCAACACACAGCACCACCGACTGTAGGACATTTATGTGTGCATGACGCCTCAACTCTCGCTTCGTTGGCCGATTCCAATAAAGGTTATACCTAATAGTCCAAAAAGTCGCGCTTAACTTGTGTCAGTACAAATTCTTTGTAAAATGACTGATACCTACGTAAAATGGCATGCTCTACAGTTACATTTGTGACTGGTTTCAGCAACCACTCCAAAATCATCATTTAACAAAGAGTTACTTTAAGTTGAGGCACGTAAACTACACTAGGTAAAATCGAAACGAGGTCGCACTTATCAGTTAGTCTTAACTTAAATGTCGTTTTACCTATATTAACTTGAGGTTATAACAAAACTACCTCTTTGGCCTAGTGATCGCAAGTGGGACTGCCGGGCAAGGGGACTCGGGTTCGATTCCCAGGTAGGGCAAAGTATTAGTGGGTTTTATAAAAAGATCTCAGTAGTAGCACGGAGTCTGGTATGTGCCCGGTATATGGCAATAGGTTCATTCCCTGTGACATGGGACTCGTAACATAAATAGTGAAAAGTGGGTGTTACATTGTACAGTTGCATTGAGTGCCGTAATGTGCACTTCTGCCTATCCCTTCGAGGATAAAAGGCGTGATATTGTGTTATGTTAAAACCAAGAGTAGTTGGTAAAAACACGCATTAGCCCCGCTCGGAATAGAACTTAAAATATCATAAATGTCATCAGGTAGGTACACGTAGACGTACCAATCAATTGAATCAACCTTGCCGTCACCACCCGACACTGGCAGTATAGTCGACAACATCGTATTGGAGACTCGGTTGCCAAAGAAGAAAAAAAAAAGAAAAAAACCTATGAAATCTACATTTATTATGAGTAGGTATAATACTGGAAACTAGAAAAATAAAGTTGATATTTCCTCACTTATTTCTAAGACCACGTGATGTCTAGTATCATTAAACTTCTAAAATATAAATAAGTAAAGGTTATCTCTATTAGAATAGATTTTATTACATTCGGCCGTAGTAACGGGTGTATAATTCATATTATCTCTATGAAAATTATTATTATTTGACCGATAGACACGTGAAATTTACAGAATAATCTAGTATGAAACTAGATTGGATGAAAAAAATGACTAAGTACTTAGTGGTAATTATTTGTAAGTACATCGACAATTTATTAATTGTTGATTGTTTATGGTTTATTCAGCAATTATATAGCATTTTTACACCTTGATTTCAATGATAATTAAAAAACAGGTTCAATGGAAAACTCAATTAAAATAAATTAATATGTCAAATTAAAAAAAAAATGTTTACATCTGGTAACATTAAATCTATTTAAAAAACGAATTGTGTCTATGATCATGAATAAAATTATTAAAAAAAGCGAATATCGACTCTTTTATGTTTTATTCCTATTTCAAATGAAATGCTGTCGTTTTATATATTTTCGTGCCAGTAATAGTATACTGACAAGGAAACAAATTACCATACTTGTAAGTTAGGGGCTAACGATGCTCATTATTTATACACGATCATGAAAAACGTACCAAACCAACAAGTGACTGTTGCTTGAGGCTATTGCATGATCAGAGACATTACTTAACGAAGATACAAAAATATTGCATTCTATTTGTTTTCCGTTTCATTTTCACATTAGCTGCTCCCAGCGGCTTTGTCCGCGTTCTCGTGCCTAGCTAGGTGTTATTCCAGATCATAATCTACCCATGTTCCAAATTTCATCCCTATTTCTTCAGCCTTGTCGCGGAGAACGTAACGGGTAACCGGTGCTCCGGCTCGACGTGCAGGAGAAGGAACGGGGTGGTTTTTAGTCAGTAAGAGTCTGACACTCCCTTCCGCCTCACCCAGGCGGGAGCAGTCATTCGATGATTTTCCCCCCTTAAAAAAAACCGTTTTATAGTGATTGAGTGACAAAATTAAACACAAACACATTATCGCATAGTATTAGTAAGAAGTAAGATGGAATTATTAACTTATGCTTTTGTGCCATGGAGGTAGACGAAGCACAGAACACAACCTACAAGGGACCTTGCACCTACTTCTACTTCTTTAAATTCAATCGTATACGTAGCTACACTAATTAATTACCTAGGTATTTCATGTATAAATTACTGCAGTTATACAGAGTGTGAAAACGGAACGCAAAAAAAAAGAAATGCCGAAAAACGCCGACAGGTGATGGTAAATAATTAGTTTTAGTTAACATAACGGGTGATTCTTTGAAACAGAGGTTTTTTGACTCATTAATCTGGCTCAAATTTTTTTTGCACTTAGATCTAAATTGATATTATAGTTTGACCCAGTGCTTTATGTGCAATATCATATATCGAAGGCATCGAATTGCATCATGTAGATTAGAATTTAGAAGGTGCTGATTAATTGATGAGCCAGATTAATGATGACATAGGCAGATGAATGTGATTTCGCACCATATTAATTAGAAGTATACAGATTAATGATAATTCCGTTATTTTTTCCAATCAACTTTATTATAAAATTGTACCAAATATTGAAATAATAACTCCTATGACTAATTAACAAGTACTCTCTTTGGCTGACACAAGATAATAATTATAATTATGTAAACAGTAACACTTTCGTTCAAATGAAACATTCATTAAACCTTTAATTGTCGTTGATAAATCACACTAGCTTCAACGCTATAATAAAATACTTACTTAATAATTAATACTTAATGCTTACATGAAATAGTAAACTAATCTTCATAAGACCTTTTAATAACACAAAACAATAACGAATTTTAGCTTAAAACAAAAATAAACTTCACCGAATACAAACTCTTAATTAAAATTAAATAAAACTTACTAATCAAAATCAGACTTAATTTTGCAGTACGATAGGAACTGTAAGGTTGAGATCGTAGAAAACTAATTACTAAAAAATATTAAATTCTTCATCATCGGAGTCTATTAAATATGGATTGATATTTTCTAAATCGACACTAAAATGTTTATTTCCATCTCTTGAAAAAGTTATCTCTGAGATTTTATCAAAGTCAGAATACTGAGACATTTCCGTTCTTTCCGCAGCATTATCCTTCCTATCTTCTTTTTGCTCGTTATCTTCCATTAATTCTTTATTAATATCATTATTTATTCCCAATGATTTACGTACACCTTTATGATTTCTTTGACGTTTATGTGATATATTGAATTCAAGTTCTTCATCTAAAATTCTTTGATCTATGTTCGGCGTATTAATATTTTGTGTATCTGGTTCATTACTGCTTGTCCAAAAGGATTGACCAATTTCTCTTAGTTGTCGTGTTGAATCAGCTAGCGGTGTAACCGTATCGGTATTGTTGTGTTGAATTTCGTCTTCCAAATGATAAAAGCCAAGGTGCTTTTTGTGGTTGCAATTGACAGTCTGATGCAGACAGTTTTGATCTATACAGCTCAGTTTTCGAACGGCAACTATAGGAGACTCGAAATTCCAGACTATTTGGTGCATTTTCAGGCAACCTGGAAAAGCTTTCACATTTTGTGGAAAAAGGAAGTCTTTTTCACATACGTCATACTCAGAAACGGTTCTCAATTTTACTTTCTTGAGGTTTTGCTCCATTACATTTACAAAATCCTGCATATCTTTTATATCCTGCCCTTGGGAAACAGCGCGATCCGCAGTTCTTTTCATAACAGCGCCAATCCCATCTGGGGCACCCTTCCCATGACCAGATTCGCTGTAGTTCCATGTAATGATTTTAATGGAGCTTAGATAGATATGCAAACAGGCAATTAGGTGAAATATTTTTTTATTACGATACTGACTAGACGGAGAATCGGAAATGAAATGTATAGTATGAATGTCTCTCTTTTTTTCACCTATGTATTGGAGGACTGGTACGATGTGAGCCCACACTGCAGAAATGTCATGACGAAGGCATTCACTCACGGTACAAAAAGACTGTACTTGCTGTATCTTCTCATCGTCTAAAAAATATATTACCGAAGTGTGTAGAGTTAATTGTTTACGGCTTCCACCGAAATGATAGGACTGTATTTCTTCATTGCACTTAACTGCATAATTTTCGCTAAAGTCAACATGAATTATACACTCACCCTCTTGAAGATTTTCTTTTAAATATTTGAAAGCCTTTTGTTGAGCAACTACATTACCACAATGCACGAAATATTCATTCAATGTTGACTCAAATTTTTCAATGCAAATCTTAGGTTCCTCTCTTTTTTTAATTTTCTCAGTTGATCTTACTTTTCTTCCCGTAGCTTCGATCGTGTATGGTTTAGTCTCCCACTGCCAGTATGTTATTTCGATGGAATTATCAAATTCCTGATAGGGGACTGTCCTTTCCTTGCAAGCAAAACATGTTCGATGTAAACAATCTTCATTATATACATCGCAACATAGCAGAGAGAGAAGATCTTGGGAAGTTTTGGTGACCAGTATCTTCCTCTGGTACAATCCCTGGATGACTAAATCCATGTTAACATGCAATTTGCATAAACAGGTATCTCTTGATCTAAAATCAGGTATGATCACCCAAAATGGCCTTAACTTGCAGAACGCTGAATAGCTAATAATTAAATTTGACTTTTTCAGGAACTTTTTATGCAGATTAAGAAGACTGTCATTGAGATATCGCTTTTGTTTACGTATCTTGTTTCTTGTAATAAATTCTTTCTTTCCGGAGCAAAGTCTACTATTTTCATCGTCTTCATAAAATATTTCAACTTCTTTTCTAAGTAGTTCAGGCAAAGAATTTGTATGATGATTTGGTATCTTATTTGACTTTCGCACTAGGCGTTTTATTTTAGGGTCAAGTGTTGTATTTTGATTTTTAGGTCTGATTTTGTTATCTACTGAGGGTCCTTTATAATTCAATGCTAATCTTTGCAGTTTTTTCTTATAACGTTCATTTTTTCGCTTCATGTCTAGTATTATTCGTTTAAGATTATTTATTTCTTTATCTTTTTGATAGCGGAGACGTCTTACAACAGAAGGCACAGGTGAAGAACAGGAAGGAGCCTCTGTATTCGGTGTAGTTCCTCGTGAAGTAGGGGAATAAGCATGGTTCTGAAGAATTGTAGCACTGCGTAAAATCCGGGATGGTCCTGGCGTAGGTGACTCCTCTCTATTTACAACCTGATTATTTAAACTTGGAAGATTATCATGGAAAGCTTCATTATAGGGCAAAATGCTAGGACTTTGTGGTGGTGTGTTTTCGTCTAGCATTGCCGCTGTTAATTTTTCTTGTTTCTTTCTTTGGTAATATGCCTTGTAATTTTTTCTCCATCTCTTCCTCTGTAACCTTTGTTGTCTGGGATTCATTTCTGCTATCGGTAGTTGTTTTTTTTCTTCTTTCCTGCGTATATAGTTTTGTCTATTCTTTTCTTGTTTTTCTTTCCATAATTCTGCATTATTCTTTATTCTTTCATATCTTCTCTTCTCCGCTAGTCTTTTTTTTCTTAGTCTTTCTTCTCTTGTTTGTAATTTTTGTTTTGCCATTTTGAAAATATGTACCTGAAAAAAAATAATGCTATTCAAGCGACGATCCCAAAACCTCAAGCATAGCAGTCAAACTTCGGAATAAAAACCAACAGGTCGGGTATTATGACATCTTAACGCCAGGCAGGTTCCGCTGAGGGAACGAGATGGCGCTAGACAACTTGTATAGCTGTGTCTCGTTCCCTCAACGAAAACTGCCTGGATTTAAAATGTCATAATACCCCACCAGGCAATTAGCTTTTTTTATTTCTTAAGTAATTTTATTGAAATTAAAATATGACTAGTACTAATAAAGACCTATTTCCAGAGAAAAATAATTATTTCCATGGTATTTCAACACAAAATTGTGCATTTGAAGCCAACATAAATAAACAAAGATAAAAACTACAATAAAGAAATGTTATTAGACATAATTAATCTGCCACATTAAAATTAATCTGGTCTTTTAATACTGCCCGAATTTGAATGAAACCTAATTCATATGGTCCGCTCAAATTCATCTGGCTTTAAGAGCCAGATGAAACCAGACTAATGGGAGCCAGAAAAATTAGGAATTCGCAGTCTATCAAATCCTGCTCCTTTGTTTATAAACGTAAAGAATCAAACATGCAATTAATGTTAGCAAAACCTCTCATAGCACACTTTGATTTGGCAACAAAACGAAAGTAGATACACACTATCAATTAATTAAGACAGATTGATTATACTACTTACGTTACAAACGCCAGAAGTCAACTTGCAATCGTATTTTTCTGCAAAAATATGTCCACGCACGAGTACTCGCTGTCACCGTTCGGCGCTGACTGGCGCGATCAACTTACAAGTAAATATTACTCTTTCAAATACTTTTTATTTACGTAGATATAATGTTAAACGAATCGAGCCAGCTTAATGATGAATTTAGTCGGGGACAATTTTTAAAATTATGTAATTATGAAAATATGCATTTTTTTTGTATTTAAATATTAAAATATTAAGAAACACATATTTAAATATCGCTGGAATTCATTAGTTTTAGTGTAACGCGACCACAGCTTACAGACGGTTAAATAATGTAATAAAAACCGTCGTTGGGACATGCCAAACTAATTAGGTTTTACTGTTTTCTGCAAACTTAATTATAGTTTTTTTTAATAAATCCTAATTAGCTACAGCAGGCCTCGATAGACATTTACCCTTAACATAAAACCTGAAACTATCATTCAAATTGAAAGTTCTTTTGATGTGTTCTTCGGTCAAAAACACGTCAAAACTGTGTTTCAAAGAATCACCCTAACATAACATCACGCCTTTTTATCCCCGAAGAGGCAGAGGTGCACATTACGGCATTTAATGCCACTTTACAATGTAACACCCACTTTTCACTATTTATGTTATAAGTCCCATGTAATAGAGGGTGATTCTATTGCCATACACCGGGCACATTTCCAGACTCCGTGCTACTATTAAGATTTTTTAAAAACATAGTAATACTACCCCTTGCCTGGCCGTCGCACTTACGACCACTCGGCCAACGAGACAGTCAAAGCCAATAACTAGTTTTATTTTCATAAAAGTAGGAAATTAAGTGTTTCCTTTATGTAATAATAGTTGTAATCAACCGCTCTAGGCTGCTTGCTTGAATAACACGAAAACAAAAACGATTAAAATTGTAAATAGGTACTATTTCTTTTTGTCAACGTTTCGGGAGTGTTCTGTATACACCCTTTTTTTGGAGGGGGGGAAAGTCATCCAATGACTTCTCCCGCCCGGGTGACACGAGAGGGGGTGTCAGACTCTTACTGACTCTGTTTACACCCTGTATTTGCTTTACAGTTTAACTAGCGACCCGCCCCGGCTTCGCACGGGTGCAATATGCATGTGTTATACATATAAACCTTCCTTAAGAATCACTCTATCTATTAAAAAAAACCGCATCAAAACCCTTTGCGTAGTTGTAAAGATCTAAGCATACATAGGGACAGACTGCGGCGGATAGCGACTTTGTTTTATACTATGTAATGATAAGTACCGTCAATTACGATAAATGTTGCTAACTGCAGGCGCGGTGATACCTATATCCAATCACAGTGGCTTCATAAATATAACTCTTCTATACAAAGTTAGGTATAATTGGACAAAAAATATTAACTTTCGTTCAAGGAATTAATAACAGGAATACATGATACATTCGATAATTCTCAATGATGTTGATGTTATCATTTGTCGTAAAAATTGTGCCAATGATAAAATTTGACAAACAATGACGCGAGTCCAATAAAAACTTGCGAATGTGACGCACAGACAGACTAGATATAAATAACATAGGGTCAATAGGACATCGCAGATGTAATTGTTCTCCCGATAAAGGTAAATATTATTCGAAAATGTGTTTACTGATGCAACACTATTCACTAAAATATTGATAGTCTGTTGTTTTTCAGAGATTATTATTATTACGTAGGTACTTGCACAAGTTTCATACTCAAACTCCAAGATTGCAATATGCCTTTATCATATTTCGTTTGTTCTAAAAATAAAAGTTTGTAACATTAACGTTTAAACGTCCTACATGAAGTATCGAATGTGAGTGGCACGCAATTTTTATAGAGCGCTCGTAATAATTTTATGTGCCTAGCTTTATGGCTACGTTTTCATAGCTTTAAATAAGACATCTCTATATACAACACAGGTATATAATAGTGCGAATAACTTTTCATTCTCAATAAATAGCTAAGAGTAATTTTTATGTGCGCGGATGTTATTCACAACGGCTTCCTACAACTTCAATAAAGTATGTAGCCAACTTCCGTGTAATCTCTATTTTAGTCACGCAATAAAAGTCTAGCTGAAACCTAGTGGAGTGCTTTGTCGGCAGACCTGTTAGACATCGCGTGCGCTAGTAAACTTCAGTTCGCCACTTTGGAAGCGTGTAAACATTCATCCGCAACATTAAACGCCAACAAATAATTTACTAAAGCACGTCCGCCTCAGAGTGACTAAATCTGTCCAGCATCAGTCATCATTTACTCTCTAATTTTATATCTTTGTTCAGTGAACATTCATGAAGGAAGTAGCGACTGCTTAATCGCGTTTTAAAACGATCCGCAGCGTGGAAGATGACATGCCAACTGTGAGCGGCCGGCTGGCTGGACGGGCGTCGACTGCAGGGCGGGCGGCGCCGGTGTGACGTGCCGCGCTCAGCTGACGCCGCGGCTCGGCGGTGACGCGTCGCCGCCACGCATCGATCCCGCACGTCTGTTGCGAATATCTACCGGTGCCGGGTAACGCCGCTGTCCACCCGCTAGTGAGCAACGTGTTATCCGTTCGAGAGTGCACGCTTCGTGCTGTGTTTACCTAAATCCCGATGATGGTGCGACGCAGCGGACGATACACTGTTAACTGGCGAGGATTTAAGGATTTCGCATTCGGAAATAAACCCCCTGACGAAGGTGAGTTTGAGCCGACAGTTGACTGAGATTGGAAGTGCAAATCTTAAATCATAGCATAACCTCAAACAAGTGTTTCGGTGTGAGAAATATAGCAAACAATTGGAATAGTTTCGAATTCTTGAGAGTTAAATCACGAATACCATCGTAAAAGCGTGTGCGGTGTTAAGAAAATTATGATAATTTTCTAGTCTGTGCGTAACCGCTAGCAATTTCTTACACCTGCCAAATATGTTTCGTAGATCTTATACACTACGAATTCTTAACAGTTTAGTACCTAATAAACAGCTTGCATTCCACCAAATGCAGGTTTTTGGAACACAGTCTGTTGTTAGAGGTACTTATTATCCGTAGACATCGGCTCCCTTTGGTGGGTATCATAACTCAAAGAAATAACTCTTAGTTACAATATAGCTTGCAAAGATATAATAAAAATAAAATTGCCAATACACGAGTACGCACTTCTTATTTATGAAGCGGCAATATATTAGATTCTTGTACATTTAGCTACGAATTTCAGGAAACTGGTTTAAAGAGTATTTTATAAAAATAACATTCTCATGCCTATTTATTATTTTAAAAAGCAATAGGAACCATCGAATAGAATTAAATCCGAAACACAAAATACACATTTTAAAAACACCTCACAGAGAAAAGCAATAAAAATTATATAACAAACTTATTTTGACAAATATGGATGTCGACGTAAAATATAAATACATTTCTAATTTTCCCATGATTGTCCGGTTTAATATGTTTGGATGAGACCTATTCATTAACACAATGTTATTGTCTAGAGACAAATGGAAATCGATTGTTTTACGTTTCTATGCCTACGAAGCCAACCACGCTGTTTTAAAACCGTAACCCTTATTTTGAAAAATAAAGTCTCGTTCATAGAATACATAGGCAAAATAATTTTTAGCTGAGTGATACCACGGCCTCACAGAAAATCGACGTGGTCGGTGGACCGGGGTCCCAATATCCCCAATCCCCGAATCCCCAACAATCCTCAACTTCCTAAAGCCGGTAACGCACTTACGTAACACCTCTAGTGTTTCAGGTGTCCACGGGCGACGTCGATTGCTTACCATCAGGTGATACGTATGCTCGTTTACCGGCTTACCCCATAAAAAACTTTCCAAATCTCGTTAACTATAATAGCGTACTTTGAAAACTCGTAAACTTTTAATCAAATCCTGATCTTTTTGCCGCAGAAAAATAGGCTAGGCTCTTTCTCTATGCGCTAGATAGCTAGACTACACTTCTTCCTGGCACAATTAGATTAAATTAATATTAAACAGATATGCAGAAACACTAACAGATTTCCTGTTGTGTCTGTCATTTTATACATGTTACAGACATAAATTAACAGTGAAATGAAAGAACTTGAAGATATTTATTAGAATTTTATAATGATGAAATTTTAGTTTTTCCAATTCTTAGTCTTTAGGTGTTAGATTATCTATAATGTAACTTAAGGATTGCAAATGTTAGCATACCTATAATACGATGATCTGAAAAATTGTGTTATTGTGTAAGAATAGTCGGATATGAAAAAAATGGCGTTTACCTATTACGTAAGTAGGGATAATGGCTAGATAAAGCTAGCGTATTTTTCTCGGTACACTAAGGACTCAAGGACTAGATGAATTTGTGTCGGAAAGGCAATAAATGCCGTAAAACTCTTGATGGTTAAACCGTATGTCCACATGTGCTAGACAACACATACCTAATTAGAGACAACAGACAACACGTTACACATAATTACATTAGTGTCTGATCTATGCCAGATGTCCTGATTTTCCGTTGTTACGTCATGGTGCTACTCACTACAAATTTATCTGTCAACTTTTTATATGATTTTTTTTTAACTCGTCGAGTACCGGTTTTGTAGACACAATTATAGAACAATAGGTTGCGGTCACCGGTGACCGCTTGGTGTTTGACAGTTTAAGGGGGGAAAACCATCGAATTACTGCTCCCGCCTGGGTGAGGCGGGAGGGAGTGTCAGACTCTTACTGACTAAAAACCACCTCGTTTCTTCTCCTGCACGTCGAGCCGGAGCCCCGGTAACTCATTAGGTTCTCCGCGACAACTTTTTATATGATAGGGTGACTTGCAACACCAGAGTGGTTACGAGAGCGTTGGCGGCTAGGAAGGGCGGTTAGGGTTTTTTTTTTAGGGGGGAAAATCATCGATTGACTGCTCCTGCCTGGGTGAGGTGGGAGGGAGTGTCAGACTCTTACTGACTAAAAACCACCCCGTTCCTTCTCCTGCACGTCGAGCCGGAGCCCCGGTTACCCGTTAGGTTCTCCGCGACTCCGAATCGGCATCGGCCCTATTTGGCCCCATCTGTGGTGGTCTGATGGCTCTTTGAGGCGCGCGCGGAACGCTACGCGCCGTACGCTCGGGTCTGTTTCTGGTCGGACGGGGAGCCACCCATGCTCGCCGTCCGCAGGCCGGCGGCGGTTGGGGGTTAGGAATATTCAAATTTTGAAATTAGTGATTTCGGGCGGATTGGCCCTCCGGTAATTACATTCACGCGGTGACAGTCAAGCGTTGATTCACGCCGATTTTCTATGAGGCCAAGGTATCACTCCAGTCGAGCAGACCCACTCATGGCGACGCATATCTCTCCCATACGTTGGTACTCTAACAACATAACATCACGGCGTTTGTTCTTGAAGATGTAGACAGAAATGCACATAATGCCACTGTACAATGTAACACCCACTTTTCACTATTTATGTTGGTACTCTGTCTCTTTTAAATGCTCATTTTAATTAATATTAGCCGTGTTAGTAGATAGGTATGTATGTATACCTAAACGACGTTCGTGCTTCACAATAACGGCTGCGTTGCGTGTTATCCGCCCTGTAATAATGTCGCAATTAGCTATGTAAATCTAACCTGCAACCTACTCAGATTTCTAGCACGTATTTTAGAGGTCTTTAATTATGTACCTATAATAAAATTATTAAATTAGATATATCGGGTAAAGTAGTATTGGTAGTATCTTAAAATAATTAAGTAAGTAAGTATAATTAGGTAAATGTTTTCTTTCTGTCTTAGCTCATAATACTTAACACCTTTATCTAGTGGCCAGTTCAAACCACAGTAATATAAAAAACTTCTTTATCGTATCTATGGTTCGAACTCTTTTGATGGGCATTCCATTCGTTTTTTTTTTTTGTATAAAGTTTACTTAATTTACCTACGATGTGGTGATTAGTAAAGGCTTACGATTTATAAACTACATTATGTTATAATAATAAATAAGATGATTAGGTATAATAATAAAACATGTAAGTAGTTTACCCACATTTGATGGCGCATTTTGGTCTGTCGTTTAACTCTCTTAATGGCTGCCCTAATGTTCACACGGAGGCAAGACCATAATGTAAGTGTGAATATTCTCCAATGCGCGAGGTTTAATGGCTTAACTAGGGCGGGAAGGAATCATATAATGTTTAAACTTACACCCAACAATTTCACTTAAGCACGTAAGTACCTACGAAGTCTACATAACATAACCATAGTTTACTTTATAGGTACTAACCTACTTCAGTAAGTAAATAACTAAATGGGTACGTACTTTTGTTTATCATGTAATGCCATCAGAAAAACAAATCATTTCAAATATAACCGCCTGTCAATGACAGAACTACCTACCTACATTCCAGGAAACAGGAAAGAATTATTTCCAGTCTCTTTAATATTTCAACGTAAATATTTCCTCAAAGAAAACGTTGAAAACATAATCTTTCTTCAAGGTACTTTGAACCTCGTAACACGTAGGTAATAATAGCATTAGAAAATTAGAAGACGGACAAGTAAATAAATAGCCCCCCCCCTCCGGAACGTCAAAGTGTTCATACATACTTTTTTGAGCTCCGCAGTAAATAAATCCTAAACCGCGTAAATAGTGATCAAATTGTGATAAGCAATACTGAGATATATTGTGTTGTGTGACTGTCAAAACCTGTGCTATAAAAAAGTGATTGAAACGACGACAAACTTTGTAAAAACTAGTTTTAAATCGAACAAAAAATGGTTAAGTGTGCACAGTGTTAAACTTATACCCTCATTAGAAATTTTCTTAAATAATTTTATAAATACCACTCAGAGTTAGACAACTGTTTTCGTTAAATCAGTTATCGTCTGTTTGTCGGAACGAATCTGGGTTAGGACTGCCACTGCACGACACTTGAGTTCGAACCCCACCAACTGTTATACTTTTTGTGATCTAAATAAATTAAAATAAAGTTCCTGATAAAAACGAAGGAGTAATAAATCAGAAGTACGCAGGACAAGGAAAAAAATATAAATTACAATAATATTTATCTCACAACACCAAGCGCCTGACAAAAACAACTGAGCAATGTCACAAAGGCGAAACTCACCAGACTCCCCTGTATCATTAAGAACCAAAATTGCACAGGGGGACCGAGCCACTGCTACCGCAGTTAATTTGGATGCTCTGCAACATTATGACTCCGAGCCCGATCTTCACTCATTGGCAAACATTATTGAGCGCAAAAAGAGGAAGCACAGTGAGGAAGGTACAGACTTACTGGCTACTATACAGGTCATGTTCTCAGCGTTCTCCACGGAGCAGGACAAACGATTCAATGACTTGAAAGCGAGCATTGACTTAATGTCACACAAATACGATGAATTCATAAATCGAATATCGTTTCTGGAAAAAGAAAATCAGGCAAAAGACATTAAAATTGAATATTTGGAAGAAAAATTGGAATTTTTTGAAAGAAAAGCGCAAAGTGTGGGCATCGAGATACGTAACTTACCAAAAAAAACCGGTGAAACAAGAGAATCCCTACAAAATGACATCATACAACTGGGAAAAACTTTAAACGTCAACGTTGAGGGCAATTCGATTAGAGATATTTATAGAACAAAATCCAAGGATGCCTCAAACCCAGTTGCCGTGAATTTTACCACAGTCTTCATGAAAGACAGTATTCTCAAAGCGGTGAAGAACTTTAACAGAGGTAAAGAGAAAGGTAACAAGCTCAACACAACGCACATAAACACCAATTATCAGTTGAAGCCATTGTATTTTTGCGAAACCCTTACAAGTAAAAATCAAAAATTATTCTATATGGCGAGACAATTTCAAAAAAGTCATGACTATAACTTTTGCTGGACCGCTAATGGAATTGTTTATCTTAAAAAGGCTGAAGACTCTCCGCATCATCGAATAAACAACCATAATGATTTGGAAAATTTAAGAAGAAATACCGTTACAAAGTGACTAAATAGTATCACTGTAACTCTAAACATTAATGTCAACTCTACGAAGTCTCTGATGCATGTACTTATGTTTGCTTTATATAGTTTGAAAATGTTGTTGGATGCCTTTTATATTGCTTTAGTTGTGCATGCTTTTTGGCCAAGCTCTATGACATACTATACCAATAACGTTATATTCACAACACATACTTACAAATCCCATGAAGACTACATAACTCAACACAACACAACACGACATATAGTTTTACTGTACTTAAACTTTATTTATATTCCTCCCGAAAATCAGATTTTTATACACACTATATACAAAACCACACACTTACAAAAAGAACACTCAAACTATAACTATTCCCAACCACAGTATTACCTACACATACAACATGACTTCACTGCCACACGTATTCCTCGCAACCAAAACAAATACTACACATATTTCGTAAAAACTATTTTAATAGCTATACAATACACACATCTCAAAAAAGAAAAATATTCAGGAAAACACTACCCAAATATCTACTCTTTGGTGACATATTAAAACTTACAGAAGATATAGACCAGATAGCTGTTTCCCACGCATACACTGCAGCCCTTGAAGACTGCCATAAATATATACAGTCGAAACCAGAAAACCTGCTAATTATTACCCAAAACATACGCAGCATAAACCGCAATTTAACAGGTTTTGAAACATTACTAGCGAGATTAAAGCTAGACTGCCACATTATTGTATTGACAGAATGTTGGCTCACTAACAATGCTGATATACCAAAACTACCTGGATATAACCACGCAGCAACGAAAGCTCATCATAAACAAAATGATGGAGTAGTTATCTACTACAAGGACTACCTAAACATAAAAATACACGAACCAAACCCAAACGAATGCAATTGCCTCGTCGCTACTATGGACAGGCACTTAGCCATACTTGCAATGTATAGATCACCATCATATAAAAATGTAGATCCTTTTCTTGCTTTTCTAGATGATACATTGCAAGAGATTACATCTTATACAAATGCCATAGTTGTGGGTGACTTAAATATTACAATAAGCTCAAATTCTATTGATGCGAATGGTGAACGTTACCTTACACTAGCAGCATCGCACGGCCTTCTGCCTGCGCATAGTTTAATTACAAGAAGTAGTAGTGGAACTTGCTTAGATCATGTTCTTCTAAAAACAAAATATAACGCCACCACTATTGTGCCACAAACAACGCTAACGGATCACTACCCAGTATTATTATGCATGAACTCAAAAATATCGCGACAGTACGCTACTACTATGACAAATAAAACAAATTACAAAGGTATCGAGCAGGATGTTTTGGCACTTGATTGTAGTGTAATTTATCAATCAGAGGACCCGAATTTCTGTCTCAATTATTTAATCACAAATTTGCAGAACATAATAGAGAAAAATTCTCAAACAATCACCCTTTCACGGCGGAAAAAAATTATAAAACCGTGGATTACTCCGGGCTTGTTACGCTGTATGCAAAACAGGGACAAACTCCACAAAAAAGTAAACACGTCTCCGGAAAATAAAATACTTGCAATAACATACAAACGCTATAGGAACTTCTGCAACAACATACTTAAAAGGGTAAGGGACAGTTACGAGCAACAACAACTGAAAACTGCTCAGAAAAACAACAAACAGTTATGGAAAGTTATTAAAGAAATTACAAATACAACTAAATCAAAACAACATTCAAATGAGCTTCTTACGTTCGCTACTACACCAGAACAGTCACTTTGTGAGGTAAACAGTTACTTTATAAACGTTGGAAACTCGCTAGCTGCAAAAATCTATAACAAAAACCTGACCACAAGGACTTCCATACAAAATACACCAAACAGCCTAAATAACATCCACCTTACAAATTCATTTGCTTTCCTTGAAACAGATGAAAGTGAAGTGAATAATATTATAATGGGCCTAAGATCAGACTGCGCCATAGGAGGCGATAAAATTAGTTGCAGACTTCTAAAACAATACAAAAAATTACTGTCACCACACTTAACTAAAATATTTAATGACTGCTTTAAATCTGGAGTATTCCCGGATTCTCTGAAAATATCTGAAATTTGTCCTATATTTAAGAGTGGAGATAGAGGTCGTATCAATAACTACAGACCTATTTCGATACTACCGGCAATCTCAAAAATTTTAGAAAAAATTATAAATATGAGGCTAGTGCAATACCTTGAGACAAAAGACCTATTATCAGCCAATCAATTCGGCTTTCGTCAAGGGAAAAGCACAGAGCAAGCAGTAAACAAGCTTATCAGTTTTACAAGCTCAAATATGTCTAATGGGAAAAAGTGCCTGGCAATTTACCTAGACCTTGCCAAGGCATTTGATACGATCTCTGTTTCCATCTTACTAGACAAATTGGAAAAATTCGGAATAAGAGGTATGCAACTCGAACTTTTAAAAAGTTACCTTTCTGGGCGATCACAATGTGTGCGAGTGGGTCAGTATAGAAGTACATACCTCCCAATTACACATGGAGTGCCGCAAGGTAGCGTTCTGGGTCCAACATTGTTCCTCATGTATTTAGACGAACTAACAAAACTAAAGCTTGCCAAAGGAGAAATAATTTCCTTTGCCGACGACACAGCTCTAGTTTTTGCCGACGATACATGGGAGGGAGTCTTTGGCGCTGCCCAGCGTGGCCTAAACTCCGTGAAGGAATGGCTTCAAGACAATATACTGACCCTAAATATAGATAAAACCAAATATATGTGCTTCAGTATTAGACAAAACTATGCACCCCCCGATAACCATAATATCATACTGCATGCGTGTTCCTCTGAGGATATCTGTCAGTGCCCATCACTAGAACGAACTGAATCGATAAAATATCTTGGCATTGTCATAGACTCTAGGCTTAGCTTCAAAGAACACATCAAACATGTGTGCCTTAGAATACGAAAACTCATGTATATCTTCAAAAGACTGAGACACATTACTGAAGCTAAATTGTTAAAGCAAATATATCTCGCGTTATGTCAGTCAGTTTTAACTTATTGTATCACGGCTTGGGGAGGAACATACAAAACCACAATGAAATCCCTTGAAGTTACTCAACGTGCTGTGCTGAAGGTTGCTATTGCAAAACCAATTTACCACCCAACGACTTCTTTATATCAAATCTGCGATGTCCTTACTGTTCGGCAGTTATTTATACTGAATACTACTCTTCTACAACACGGAAAACTGGTCTACAATTCCCAACAGTTGACTAAACGTCGACGATACAAGGTATGCAGCACTCCACAACACAGTAAAAATAATTTTATTTCAAGATTTGCTGACCACATCGGACCATACTTATACAACAAATTAAATAAAATCCTAAACATCTACCCACTAACCAAAGTAGAATGTAAAATAAAACTAAAAAAATATCTACAAAAACTAAATTACGAGGAAACTGAACAACTACTGAACAAATTAATGTGAAATAAACAAACGCGCGCACACACCCACAAACACACACACACACACACACACACACACACACACAGCACACCCACACATACACATAATGGCCAAAATAGTTAATATCTGCGTTGAGAAAGTTCCTTTTTTATTATTATTATTTTTCTTGTAGTAATTTTCTGTATTAATTATTATGTTATTACTTTTTATCTTATTCTTGTAATTTTTCTTTAAACAAAAATTAATATTATATAACTGACACTAGAAAGGCTGAAATTATCTGTACGTTTGAGGGTTGGGCACTGATAGTCGAAATACAGGCAATGCCTAGTTCGACTACAGAAGCTAAAATCACATACCTGTAAAAATATTATAGCCAAAAAAAAAAAAAAAAAAAAAAAAAAAAAAAAAAAAAAAAAAAAAAAAAAAAAAAAAACGTAACCTCGTAATACCAACATCTTTTTTCTTTTTATTGATATCTTCAATTGATTACATTTCGTCGGATGAGCAATCTGGTCCAAACAAACACCTTTTCCCATACTTTTTTATACAAACATGTGTCTCAATCAATAACACACAGTACATAATATTGATGGAATGTGTGGTTGCGTGTTTGATGACGTTTATGTCCATAAAGCTCGTATAAAAAAATCAATGTGTCACAAATACATGGTTGATGGTATCTGATTCCCCAGCGACATTCCCCAGGCCGTGTCGGGTTTACGGGCGTGGGTCGGCGCGTAACAGGGATTATCATTTTAAATGCCAATGGGAATTGTTATTTCGTAAATAATTCACAGAAAGAGTTAATTTCGTCGCTATCGCTACCCTTAGTGGTTATTTAAACGCTCGGACTACCTACGCCTCGACGCGGCGTTTTGCAAAACCCTCCAGTCGTGGGTAGTTTAACTCGTCGAGTACCGGTTTTGTAGACACAATTATAGAACAATAGGTTGCGGTCACCGGTGACCGCTTGGTGTTTGACAGTTTAAGCTGTACATTATGTACCTAAGTTGTGATTTGGATACAATTTGGAATTTTATGATAAGAAATTAATAACAAATTTTATGGTTTTATTACTATATTTCAATGAATTTCAATTAATGGTTTGAGTAATGGTTATCGGATGATCTCAAAGCTATTTCTATTTTTAGAAAAGGAGGAAGAGAAACCTGAGGAGGACTTAGCAAATCATGAAGTTATATTTTTAAAAAGTATTGTTGAGAGTCCAGACTTTGGAAGAAAATATGAGGTAAAAATTATATTTTCTTTTATATTCCCCGTAGGTAACAAAATAGACAACACGCTTTTCCGTTCCCCTTGCTAATATTTTCATTATTATTACGTGTATAGGGATAATTCCCACAGAAATTAAGTAAATATTTTTAGTCAAATTATGAAAATTCGTTTTTTTTTTACATCTAATACGATATTTTTACAAAACGTGCATTACACGTTCCGTTAAAGAAAACATGTAATGTTATTGCTATCCTTTTCTAATGCTTTACAGTGTCGCTTTGTAACAAAGAACGGTTTCGTTCTCTTTGAAGTGACAGACACAGTGCCGTAGATGTACACACACACAGAATCAATAAACTGTGGCATACTTTGAATGTTACATCAACGAAGTAAGGTTAAAAATTGTGTACAGTTGTCACTAGCAACTGTCAAAAGTTGCAGTTGGAAAACAAGATTGTGTGAAATCGTGCTTGTGTTCGTTTGGGTGTGTTCTTTTATTGCAACAAAAACATATTTAGTACATAAATGTAGCTGTTTTCTGCAACTCTCTCCAGTAACAGCCAGTAAATAGTTGATTTATTTCTTATTGGAAATACGACGTAGTATCCGAGTAGTATTATTGCAGTTTTCATTCAACAATTTAACGACAAGTGCCACGCCTATAAATGCTTGTAGCTCGTATTTTGGAGTGCCAACAGCCGTTCCTGGGTTCTATTTTAATTACTGGTGAGTGTTGTTATTGCAGTCTATCGATTCGGAAGAGGATTTGATCGTAAAACCTGTCTCGTTGGGCAACGTAAACATAATACGGTCGCTGAGCGAGTACCGTGGCAACAATATACGAACTATTGAACAAGCCGAACTAGCTATTATTGTGTCCAGGGCACACTTTAAGGTACGTACGCCCCTTCCAATATTAGCCAGCCTTCAGCGACGTGTTTACAAAGTAACACAAATATTTACTGCACGATTTAGTAATAGATGCCAGTTTAATGAGTGCTCCAGCAGATTTACTGCACTTGTTATTGATTTTCTAATGAATATTAAGACATTTCGATTGTATTGTTAAAGTAAACGTTTCCATGGATGCAAATGATAGTTAAACAGTTCTTGGTAGTGTTTTGTTTTAGAAATAAGCTTTAACTCACTCAATTGAAGATAATTGAATGAAACATTAATATACTGTATTTTATTTCAGGCTTTAATAGATGCTCATGACCAAATAGGTGCAATTTGGCTAGACCGAGGTTCTGGTATTGATGAGAAACCAGCCCTGCCGGAGACAGAAGGCAATAAGGATACAGCAGAAGGCTCTACGGAGGAGAACGGTGACATGCCTGTGGAAACTGTCAAAGTTGTAGGCCTTAGGAAAGTGCCTGGACAACCTTTAGGTTTAACTGTAAGTACATAGATTAAACCTTTTTGTATTTTTTTTTTATTCATTGGAACTTGAATAAGTGTTAGAGTGCAATAACCCTAAGGAGCAATGTACTTAGTTTTAAACTCTTTGTTACAAAGTTTTTTGGCATTCACTAATAAATAAATATTTGATTAAGTTATGTTATTATGCCAACGAGGCAGTCAAATAAA